AAGTCAGCTCTAACTTATGGCAACCCCATGTGTGTTAGAGTAGAAGTGTGCTCCACAATGGTTGATTTTTCAGAAGTAGATTGCCAGGCCTTTCTTTAGAGGCCTCCGGGTGGACTTGAACCTCCAACCTTCGGGTTAGCTGCCAAGTTGTTAACCATTTGCACCACCCAGTGACCTGTCAGTGAGTGTAAACTCATATAATTACTTTTAATATTACAAACAATGGTGTAGTAAACATGTAACTTGGCCACTTGTGTAAATGTTTTTGGGAGAGCAATTTCTGGGAGTGGATTCCTAGGTCAAAGGGAAGCACTTAACTCCTGCTCTTAACTCCTTTGCCATTCTCAAATACCCCACCTGGCGAGTTCAAGGGCGAGGATCAGCAACATATCACAGCAAAGCCAGGACGTCAAGAGTAAGGACCCTGCCATCAGGCTGCCTGGGCTTTGAATCCTGGCTCTGCTCCCTTGCTAACAAGCCAACTAAACTCCCTGGGCCTCAATTGCTCCATCCATAAAATGGGCATCATAAGACAAAGTAAGATTGCTCTGAGTCTTAAATTAGAGAGGCACACAAAGTGTTTAACATAATGCCTGGATTAAAATAATACTAGGAAACACAAGTGGTTGATACAACACTCAAAAGGTAGAAAAGGATAAAGAGTGAAAATTAAGTCTTCCTCCTTCCTAGGTCCCCAGCCAGTCTGTTCCTCTCCTCAGAAGCAACCAGCAATTCCTATTGGATATTCTTCCAGATAATCTATTTGCTTATAGATGTACACATATATGCGTGTATGCATCGTTGTTGTTAGTTGCCATGGAGTTGTCCTGCCTTGTGGCAACCCTGTGCACAATGGAACAAAACAGTCCTGTCCAGTCCTGCAGCATCCCTGTGATCAGTGGCAAACCAGACCTTTTTGATCCATGGAGTTTTCATTGACTGATTTTCCGAAAGTAGATAGCCAGACCTTTCTTCCTAGTCTGTCTCAGTCTGGAGGCTCCATTGAAACCTGTTCAGCAGCATAGCAACATGCCAACCTCCACTTACAGGTGGGCAGTGACTGCGCATGAGGGGCATTGGCCGGCAGTTGAACTGTGTTTCCTGCTTGGAAGGTGAGAATTCTGTACACATGCTGCTGCTGTTGTTGCTAGTTGCCACCTCGTTGAGTCTGAGTAATGGTGACTTTACGTGTAACAGAAGAAAATGTTCAGTCCTGTGCCATTTTCATGATCATTGTATGTTTGAATTCATTTCTGCAGCTATTATGTCAATCTATATCTGTATACACACACAAATATATATTTCCTCTCGTAGAAGTTATAGCATAGGATGCATCCATGAACCTTAGTTTCTTTTTTTCATTTAAGAGGGGGATAGTTTGGAAATTAAGGAGCTCTGGTGACACAATGCCTAAGGCATTTTACTGGTAACCAGAAGGTCAGCAGTTCAAACCAACAAGCAGCTCTGCAGAAGGAAGATGGGGCAATCTACTTCTGTAAAGATGGACTGCCTCGGAAACCCAATGGGGGTCACTATGAGTCGGAATCAACTTGATGGCAGTGAGTTTGTTTTAGTTTGAGTTTGGAAATTCTTTATTATTATCATTGTTGTTGTTATAAATATTAAAGGGTCTAAATGCCAGTGGGACAGGCTGACAGCCACCTGGCAGTACGGAGTGTGACCACCCCACTGAGACCTTTGCTCTTCCTCCAGTCAACAAAGGAAATAGGTGAAAGAAGAGGAAGAAATTAAGAAAATCCCCTCACGGCCATGGGCAGCTGCCCTCCGGGCTGGCTACTACAGAGACGCTCTCTTTTTCTGCACCTTCCCAGGGAAACAGAGTCCTGTGCCTTTAACGGTCTGCAACACGTGCAGCACGTACCAGGAATAACATCTGGGCAGCAGCCACCTCTACTTAAAGAGACAGGCCCTTCTTCAGGATGAAGTTTGGATCACGTCCAAAGTCTAGCAAAAAAAAAAAAGGGAGCAGGAAATGATGCCAAAGGGGTGGGGCAGGCTGCACCAGGGTGAAGCTTCTCCCCTGGGTAAGTGGAATGGGGGCGGGGTGGGGGTTGGGAAGACAGCAGCCTCCATGATTGATTTCCTTTCCTGACTCGAGGGACGTGGTCTACGGAAACCCCACTGCCCAGGGATTCTTTCTGGCCACAGTGCATTGCCCTAGGGCCCTAGCAAATGGGGAATTAGAGTTGGGTTCCAATCCTGCCTCCTTGACTGTGGTCCCACATTAGCCATGTGATGCAGAGCGAGTGGCTTCACCTCTCTGACCCCAGTGTCTTCGTTTTGCAAATGAGGGCAATGGAGGCTAACTCGAAGGGCTGCTATGAACATAGAATAATAAGAGAGAGCTTTGAAAACTGAGCCAGGCGACACACACTCCTTCTCCTCCTCTCTGCTCATTCTTGCATTTCCTCCTTGAAGAGTCTGGAATCTCCATCTGCATCCTCCTGATTCCAAAACATCCGGTGGGTTCTGGCACCAAGTCTGGTCCCCAGCTGCAGACACACCCCACCCCAGGTCCCAGCTGGTGAGTATAGGCCCTGGGTCTTGCTCATGTCTCATCCCCTCACTTGCCTATGAGTTCCTCTGGGCCTCCTTCCTACCATGTGTCGAATGAGAAAATCTCCCAGGTTCCCAGTGATTATACTTATCTTCTAAAAATAATGCATACTGGCAGTGTTTGGATTGTCCAAATAGTATTTAGTCATTATATATACAAAAAATAAATCAAGAGAAACAAAAACTATAAAATATAAACAAGGAAATAAAAACTATCCATAATCTCACCTCCTGGAAATCATTCCTGTAAACATTTGGCTGTAATTTTCTCTAGCACTCTCTTCATGCGTATCTGTATCTATACCAATCCAAACAAAACCACACTCGTTGCCGTGGAGTCAGTTCCAATTCATACTGACTCCGTGTGTTAAAGTGTAGAAATGCTCCATAGGGTTTGCTTTGCTGAGATCTTTACAGAAGCAGTTGGCTGGGCTTTTCTTCCTCAGTGTGGCTGAGTGGACTTGAACCAGCAAGCTTTGGTTAGTAGTCGAGCACAAACCATTTGTGCCATCCAGGGACCTATCCATATCTTTAAGAATATATTTTTACTAAGTGAAGTCATTCCGTCTATACTCTTTTTCTACTTACCATCCTATTGGGAGGGAGCTCTGCTGGCATAGTGCCTAAAGCATTTGACTACTAACCAGAAGGCTGGCGGTTCAAACCCACCAGTCACTCCTCAGAAGGAAGATGGGGCAATCTACTTCTGTAGTGATACTGCCTCTCAGACACCCAAGGAGGGGTCGCTATGAGTCGGATCTGACTTGAGGGCAATGGGTTGGGTTTTGGTTATCCTATTGGAAGTGTGTTTTCCTTGCCAAAGCAGTCCTAGAATGGTGTTGCTTTTTTGTTTCCCCAGTACCTACACACGGCTTGTTCTGTCTGGTTCACTGATATCCATAACATCATCCCTCCTCCTCCTCCTCCAGCCTGTACCTTCTCCAACTGGCCCACAGTTGCACCCACCACCCATTGCCCCAAGTCTGCAGCCCCTCGGGAGCCTCATCTGCCGGAGTCTCTGCCCCAGAAGGGAGGGCTTTTTTCCAGAAGTCACTACCCCTAGCTGACATCTGGTCCAGGAGCCCCTTGAGTTGTTTATGGCACTTTGGAGAAAACTCTGTCTGTGAAGAGGCCCTAAAGAATCTCAACACTCACTCATTCATTCAGCAATGAGCCCTGAGGAGCAAGACCTTCCTTGGCCCACAGTTCAGCTTGACTCCCAGGAACACCGAGGCAGATTAACTGATTTCTGCGTTTCTTGTAGCCAGAGCAAGGCATGTGTCCACACTTGTGCCCACCCTCAGCCCCTGGATGGGACTCCCAGGTCCTTCTGGCTGGGATGCTTCCTTGCAGAAAGGGTCCATCAAGAGGGCTAAGGGTAGGAAAACCAAAAAACTCAAACTCTCTGCCATTGAGTCACTTCCAACTCATAGCGACCCCTCCTTGGGTTTCCCAGGCAGTAGCAGAGGCATTTTCCACCGTGAGCTGGAGGACCCAAGTGGGAGGAGACCTAGGTGGGAGGCCTGCTTCCATGCCCTGTGCCTGCTGCAATCCTGGACTCCTGTCTGGGTTTGCTTCTTTGTAAGATAGGTGTTGCAAAAACACTTGCCTTCCCTACACTTTTCTGTGTATCAGATGTGAAAAATTAGGTGAACTGCTTCAAACTAGAGAGGTTGACACTCAAAATTAAAAAAAAAAAAAAAGAGAAAGAGAGAGGTTGGATTTATTCAGGTCCAACTATAGACTCTGAGACTACTGGCTGTTAGATTTTGGGCAAAGGACTTCCTTAGACGCTATGAGCGTCAGCGTTCAGCGTCCTCTGAGGTCAAATGAGGAATAACAACAGTGGCCGCCGCTTGGGTTTTGGGGAGGACTAAATGAAACCTAGGAGCTCTAGTACCATAGTGGCTAAAGCACTTGACTGCTAACCAGAAGGCTGGCGGTTCAAACCCACCAGCCACTCCTCGGAAGGAAGGTTGGGCAATCCTACTTCCGTAGTGATACTGCCTCGGAAACCCAAGGAGGGCTCACTATGAGTCGGGCCGACTCCACGGCACATAACAACAACAAATGAAACCTATGAGCTGAGACTTGGGGGGCGGCCGTTCTCAAGAACCCATAAGTAGACGCTATTTCGTCCCCACTTACAGGTGGGGAGATTGCAGTCATTGATACTGTAAAGTCTTGGCGCAGCCTCGGGGTATAGAAATTGGGGTTGCCCCCTCCTCCACTCCCCCTTCTTCTTCCCCGACTCATTGAACCACCCTGGAAACCGCACGGCGGGAGGGCGGGCCTGGCTGAAGGGTTCGGAGGCGCAGAGACTAAAGCCGCGGTAGCTGTCCCCACTCCGAGAGGCCTCGGTGAGGGAGTCTCTGCAAGAAAATCCTTCCCCCGGGGGTGGGAACGGGAGGGAGGGCTGCGCGGTACCGCCCCCGGGGCGGGCCCAGTGCGTGGCAGCCGGACCGCTGGCAGTGTCGCGAAGTTTCCAGCCCTGAGAGCCGCGCCGAGCCGCCCGAACGTCCCAGGACCACGCCATGAGGCCCCTGCTGCTCCTGGCCCCACTGGGCTGGCTGCTCCTGGCGGAAGCGAAGGGCGACGCCCAGCCGGAGGGTGAGGCGCGGGCTGGGCGCAGGCGGGTTGGGGTGGGGCTCGAGGGAGCGAGGGCCGCCTAGGTAAGGACTAATGTGTATGGGTGCGGGAGAAGATCTGGGTTCCGAACTCGTGGCCACTTACTTAACTGGTGATTTGCACAAATCACTTGGCCTCTCGAGGCTGCGGTTCCCTCATTATAATAGCGAGTAAGGGAGGGTAAATGGCCAATGCCCCATTCAGCACCCAGACGATCCCGTAATACTAGTTAATACTCATACTACTACTGCTACTACTACTGGCCATGGCCACGATTAATGGACCGCTCACTATGGGCCAGGCATTGTTAAACGAGCATGATCACATTCCATCCTACAACACCCCTTGGAAGTAGGTCCTTCTATCACCCCCATTTTCCAGCTGGGAACACTGAGCCTTCAGAGTTGAGCCTTTTGCCCAAGGTCACACAGATTGTGTGCCTTGCAACTAGAATTCATATCGCCGTATGTGTCTGGATTCAAAGTCAATGGGCCTGATCACGTGGGTGGGGGGCTGATGGGGGGTGGACAGAGCTGACATAGAGGGGAAGGTCCGTGTTCCCGGAGCAGTTTATGCTTTCACCCATGTCCTGTGGTCTGCTCAGCCTCCCACCAGACAGGTATTGCACATGAGGAAACGGAGGCCCAGAGAGGTGAAGCGACTGCTCAGCGTTGTTCAGCCCATGCAGTGGTTGAGCTGAGGCCTCTGGACCCCCACCTAGGGCTCCTTCTATTTCCCCAAGGCAGCGTGGATCTCAAAGTGTCCCCCACTTTTCTGAGTGGGTGCTGCTCTCCTCCCAGCCCTCCCTGATGTAGCCATTTCCAGGGCTACTTGGTGAGCCCCTGAGAGCCCTGAGGAGGGCACAGACGTAGGACAACTGAGCAAAGCAAACTTTGGAGCCAAGCTAGCCACACCGTCCTGATCCCCAGAGTGCCCCACCTTCCCCACTTCCTCATGTCCTGACCTCCTGGTCAACTTGGGAGGCATGAGTGGGGATGGGGCTTGGACGTGGGGAAGAGATGAGACCAACCATTTCTTGAGAATTTCTTTTGTGCCAGGTTGTGACCAAGGCCACATGACTTTCAGTGGCAAAGCCAGAGGCTGCTTAGTTCCCACAGGTGATCTACCCTGCACAAGGAGGAGTTTGTGATACCTTGCTCCTGGAGCTGTTACAAGCATTCCATGGGATGGGGCCCATCCATGAGGGGTCAGCATTGCCAGCAGGGCAGTGTGGCAGGTCAAAGAACGCAGGGAGGAAAGGACTGAGCACAGTGCCAGGATTAGGGCATGCACTTAGCCAGGAGCCTGAGGCCAGGTCCACTCGCTGGCTGGGGGCCAGGAGTCCGACAGTAGCCTCCTCCCTTCCCCCTTGCCTCTCCTTCCTCTGCTTCTGCTAGAATGGACTCCATCCCCCCAGACCATCCTGAGAGAAATGAGATGTGTCTAGCTGCCCACACTGAAGCCCTGAGAGGTGAGGCAGGGAGGGACCAAATTGATGATAGGGCTTCACGCCCTGACCCCCAGCGAATGACATGGAGGCAAAGTAGACACAAGGCAACCCCCACTGAGGGAGCTGCTGAAGGCAGAGGGCAGGACTGGGCTGTTGCTAAGATCATCTGATAAAGCGCCAAACAAATAGTAAGCACTCAGTGGTGGACAAGAGGCTGCAGGTCCCTAGGCATGGGGCTGCTGTCAGGCTGCCCTCTTGTGGAGGCCTTTTGTTTCCCTTGCCCCATTTAGACCCTTTTGATAAGGGATGTCAGTCCCATTTTGTAGATGGAGAAACTGAAGCCCTGAGAAGTTGAGCCCCTGGTCTCATGTTGCCACAGCTGGTTGGAAGAGGAGTTCCTGATGGGCTCAGACTGCTGCTCATGCCTGCTGGCCCCCACCTCCTGGGTTGGGGAGGCTGTTGTTTGGAAATGCTGCCTGGGGGAGCCTGCCTCGCTCCTCCAGACCTAGCTGATGTGGGATCCTCAGCTTCCCGGACGGGAGGAGAGACTAAGATGGTCATTTTTCCTGTAGTCCATGCTTGAGCTGCCCACTCACTGACATTGGAGAGTGGGCACCCCAGAAGGCCAGCTCCTCCCTTCCCTGGCTAGGCCGGGACCCCTGGGCCAGTGCCAGGTGCTGGGATGGCACAGCTGCTGAGAATTCAGTTGGGTCGGGCCCAGAGTTGTGCTCTGTCTGCCCCTCTGCACACAGCAAGAGCAAGGCCCTAGGTGCAGAATTTGTTATGGAGTTATGGGGGAGGGTGTGGGAGGGGACCTCTCAGTACCTTGACCACTCCCCCCACCCACTGAATGAACACCTGTGGACTTGGGGTGTGGAGTTTAGGGCTTAGTTTGCTCTTTGAGGGAGCTCCCAATCTGAGGGAGAAAGCAGAGCTTCTCCCCTCAATGGACTTCATATGGGGGAGACATGATCCTCTGTTCTCAGGGCACCCATGTCTGAGTATAAAAATGGTGTGGCTGAGGCATCTGACCTCCTTGTTTCACTTCACCTGGAAAGCGGGCCACTGTCAGTAGCAGCCCAAAGCTGATTCCTGTGCGGCAGAGGTCAGACATGGCTGCTCCCCCAGCCCTTGTTCCCACTTCTGACACCAGCAGTCCCGCCCACAGCACTCTACTTCTTTGCTGGGCTCAATAATTCATTGCACTGGCCATACAGAACTCACAGACCGTATTCACAATTACAGGATTTATTAGGGAAGTAACAGGTTACAATTCAGGATCAGAAATGACTCAGGTTATAGTTCTTTGACCATCCATTCCCCTGCCTGGGCTGGAACTGCTTTTGGGGGCAGGGACAGGGTGGGGAGGGCAGGAGGGAGGCAGAGTACCAGCCTGGAGGATGGCTGAGTGGGCTCAAGTTCTCAGCCTTCTCCTCAGGACCCAGAGGTCCTTTCACAGCTCTGCCTTTTTCCTCAGGGGTTCCCTTCTCCCAGGAGTCTCCTCGCCTGGACTACACCCCTCCTCCAGCCTCTTCTCAGCTGGGCAGTAGGCAGGCCTCTCTCTGGTCCGCAGCACCCTGAGGGGCCTCCTGGGCCAACCTGGCCTCTATCCTGCTTGGGCAAGTGTCACAAAGCTCTTTAGCTCTGCTGATATGTGATCAAAGGTACCCCACTCCACCAATAAGCCTCAGCCTGCAGGTGCCCAGCTCTAGCTTTATGGACAAGTGCCTGGAGGTACCCTACTCTGCCAGCAAGCCTCCTTCCTGAAGGTGTTCAGCTGTCTCACTCTGTGGGCCAGGAAGCCTACCTCGCATTCTCCTGCTGGTTTCCTGGTTCTGCCTCTGCTGCTGCCGTCTCTCTGCTGCTGCTTCTCCCCATCTCTTCTTGTTACAGCTTTCTCTCTGTCTCTTGGGTCCAGGAGGCTGCCAGCGCAGAGACCCTGGGTCCAAAGTATCTACTCCACTCCTGGCTCTTCTTCCTTGGTGGTTATGAAATCCCCTCTCTAAGCTTTGAAATTTGCTCTCTTTTAAGCCTAGTGGATGGCAAAACTGACCAATCCCTTCCTTAGAGTTCCATATACCTTATTTGCATAGTCCCATCCACACCAGGGTACCATGCACTTTATTTGTATTATTAGCTATCCAATCCCCTTGATGGGCCACAAGTACTTTATTTGCTTCTTGTTGTAGTTGTTAGGTGCTGTCGAGTCAGCTCCAACTCATAGCGGCCCTGTGTACAACAGAATGAAACACTGCCTGGTCCTGCACCAGCTTAACGATCCTTGCTATACCTGAGCCCATCGTTGCAGCCACTGTGTCAGTCCATCTCATTGAGGGCCTTCCCCTTCTTTGCTGACCCTCCACTTTACCAAGCATGATACCCTTCTCCAGGGAATGGTCCCTTCTGACAACATGACCAAAGTAGGTGAGA